AGCCTTTGGGTCTTTCCTTATCTATACATTTGCCAGGGTGGGGCGGGTGATGGAGGGCTTCTTTCAGGGTCAGGGTCAATGGCTAGAATCCTCATTCTTTGGCATCAGCTTCTTCCTCTTGGTCTCAAGCAGCAGAGGGATTTTCATGTGTTTGCAATGTGCAAGGGTGACGGTGACCAGACCAGGCCCGAAGCAACATGAAAGTTCATCAATATGTTATAGCTGTTTTTATCTGTGAGATGTTGGAAGGTATAAAAAGGAACAAAATTGGGTGATGAAATTAATTGGAGGTTAGGTGATATATGTTGTGGAAACAGCAGGCTCTGGAACATGAAATAGTGGAGTTAAGCAAAACTTTACAAGAGGGTGATGAACACACAAGTAAGAAAAAAAATGTACCAATTATGAAGACTGTCCATGTGAAGAAGGCTATTTGTCTCCTAGTTTCAACTTGAAAGGATCAGGCCTAGAGCATGTGAATAATTACTTTTTTTGTGTGAATAATTACTTTTTATAAACAATTCCCTAATTGCTCAGCTGGTATGGCCATACAGGTTAAGGAGATTTTGAGAACTATAGGTCAAAGAAGTGACTTTTCCAAGCTCTGGAGCAGCTCCCTGCTGTTTAAAAGGGTTGGCTATGAATCATAGAACCAGGAGGTCAGAAGGGGCCAATACAACCACTGAGTCCAACTCCCTGTTCAGTGCAGGAATACAAATCAAAGCATATCTGCCAGGTGATTATCTAGGTTTTTCTTGAATGCCTCCAGTGTTGGAGCGTTCACCACCTTTCAAGGTAACTGGCTCCATTGCTGTACTGCTCTGACGGTTAAAAAGCTTTTCCTGATATTCAACCGAAAGCTGGCTTTCTGTAACTTGAGCCCATTGTTGTGTGTCCTGCACTCTGGGCTGATAGAGAAAAGATCCTGCCCCTCCTCTGTATGACAGTCTTTTAAGTATTTAAAAAGTGCTCTCACATCTCTCACCATCCTTCTTTTCTCAAGGCAAAACATGCTAAGTTCTTTCAGTCTTTCCTTATAAGGCTTGGTTTCCAGCCCCCTAATCATTCTTGTTGTGCTCCTCTGAACTTCTTCCAATTTGTCAGCACAACTGGCCACAGTACTCAAGATGAGACCCAACCAGTGCCGAATATAGGGGAAATAGTACCTTGCAGGATTTGGAAACTATACTTCTACTAATGCTGCCTAAAATAGAACTTGCCTTTTTTGTAGCCATATCACACTGTTGGCTCATATTTAGCTTGTGCTCTACAACGATTCCAAGACCCTTCTCACATGTAGCATTGCTGAGCCAGGTATCCCCTTGTGTGTTTGGTTTCTTTTACCTAGGTGCAGTACTTTGCACTTATCCCTGTTGAATTTCATTGTGTTGTTTTCAGCCCAGTGTTCAAGCCTAACTAGATAATTTTGAATTTTGTTTCTGTCTTCCAGGGCATTAGCTATTCCACCCAGTTTTGTGTCATCTGCAAATCTGATTAACATTCCCTGTACCCCCTGATCCAGGTAATTAATAAAAATGTTGAAGAGCACTGGGCTCAGGATTGAGTCCTGGGGTACCCCACTTGTAACCTCCTCCCAGTTTGAGAATTAGCCATTAATTATCACTTTCTGAGTATGATTCCGTAGCCAACTGTGTATCCATATGAGAGATGCTAATCACAATATCATGGGGCACTTTGTCAAAAGCTTTGCTGAAGTCAAGATATACTATGTCTACAGCATTCCCTCTGTCTGTCAGGGAGGTTACCCAATAAAAAATGAGGTCAAATTAGTTGGGTAGGATTTGTTCTTGACAAATCCATGTTCACTTCTAGTCAATACTGCATTGTTTTCTAGATGCTTGCATAGTGACTGCTTTGAATTTTCCCTGGGATTGATGTCAGGCTGACTGTTCTGTAGTTTCCAGGTTCCTCCTTTTTGCCCCTTTTGAAGATAGGGGCAACATTAGCTCTAAACCAGTCATCTGTTACCTCATCCATTTCCCATGATTTCAAGAAAATAATAGAAAGCGGTTCTGAGAGTTCTTCAGCTAGTTCCTTCAGTACTCTTGGGTGCAGTTCATTGAGCACTGGGGTTTTGAACTTTTTCAAAGTAAGAAAGTATTTTAGTTCTTCACCTAGTTCCTTCAGCACTCTTGGGTGCAGTACATTGAGCACTGGGGGTTTGAACTTTTTCAAAGTAAGAAAGTATTTGTTGTTGTAGGTTTTTTGGACTGTTTTGTGTACAGTGATCACCGGTCTTTGTGGCTGGGTAGACTAGTCACAAAAGACTAGCTAACGACACCCATCAATCACAGTGACAGATCATCCCCTCCTTACCCACAACAATAGACCCATAATAAAAAAAAAACACCCTGACCACCATAATCACCCAATCTCCTGAAAAGGACAAAGAGCTGATCCCATAGCTACAAATATTCAACTATCCCACATACTACACCAGAACACAGACAGAGTTACTGTATAACTCCTGTCCTCTGAAGATGCTGGCCACAGAGACTGGTGAAATGTTAGGAAGAAAAACCTTCAGAACACGGCCAAATAGCCGGAAAAACTTACAACAACCATCAGATCCTGGCTGTAAAGGTTTTTGGAAGTGAGCCTGGCAAATGCACACCATGGGGCCTTTTCACTTGGTAGCTCCTCTAAAAATTTGCCAGATTTATTTGCCCACACCTTTTAGAAAGGCAACAAAAACAATTTTGTTTATTAGAATTGTGGGACTGGTTTATCTGCTTGGGGGCGTTTTGTGTGTTCTGTTATTGTTGTTGTTGGTGATGTTACCCTCCCAACCCCACCCATCCCAGTTGTGCTATTTTTGTTTTTCCAAACTAAAGATATTCTACATTTCACCAGGCACGCTTTGGGCCAGAGTAAATTCGAATTAGTAAACAACATATAAATCTACAGGCAAAGGGACTAAGAACATCAGCCTGAAAAATAAGGATTGCAACATTTAGTGAGTACAGTACCTTCAGATGATGCCTTTGGTGAGCAGAGAAAGTTTGACTGAGGTTTTCACTTTAGGGGAAAGGAAGTGAATATTCTAATGTGGCTTTAAAAAAAGACCAACTGAAGGTAATAGCACACAATTCAAATGCAATTTCTTAGCAAGGACATGAATGGAAAACAAACATGTATTTATATCTTACAACCAGATCATTACCACTTCCTGTTGATTGATATAGTCAGCCTACCTCCCTGCCCTAGTGCTCTGGTTGAAATTTAGTGTTTAGATATTTATTTCTGCTATTTTTTCAAAAAAATAATAATTCTCGGTTACTACTCTCTTTACAAACTGAAGTATTAGTGACAACTGCTGTTCAAGAGAACTTTTCGGACAATGCGGATTGCCTTCCAGACAGTTTCTTATGGACAATTTTCCAGCATATCAGATCAATTATTAAATCTAGCATTGCTGGGTCAACAACATTTGATTTCTCGAAATGTCGCTGGCAAATGCTGAGATGATGGCAACGCTTGTGATGTCGTGGGGTGGGTCCTTCTTTATGATATCACAGAACCACCGTGATCAAGGATTGGGAAGCAGCCAGAACTAATTCTGGGTCAGCTGACTATGGAAGTGAGAATGGGTAGTGGTGATCTGGTTAAATGGGTAGTATTCATTGCTACTGCATGTTGTCAAGTCAACTCCGATCTATGGCAAGTTGCAATCCTATGAACGAGTGATCTCCAAACTGATCTGTCCCCAGCAACCCTGCTCAGCTTTTGCAAACCCGAACCTTAAAGGAATAGGGAGTCAATCCATCTCATATATAGTTCTCCTCTTTTGCTCCTGCCCGCAACTTTTCCCCCAGCAATTGTCTTTTCCAGAAAATGTTGCCTTCTCATGCTGTGCCCAAAGTATGAAAGCCTCCGTTTTAACATATTTGCCTCCAGAGATAGTCCAAGCTTGATTTGATCTAGGATCGACTTGTCTGACTTTCTGGCAGTCCAAGGTACCTGCAAAGCTCTCTCCTCCAACACCACATTTCAAACGAGTTATTTTTTTCCTGTCAACTTTTTTTTTAATGTCAAGCTTTCACATTTATGCATAGTAATTGGCAATACACTAGTGTGGATGCTCTTGGCCTTTTTTTTTTTCCAGTGCCACATCATTACAGTTGATGATCTTTTGTAATTGCCCTTCTCAGTCTCACTTGTCTTCTGGTTTCTTGACTGCAAGCTCCCTTTGGACTGAGGATTGAACCAAGGTATACAAAGTCTTCAACAAGTTCAATTTCTTCATAGTTTACATTAAAGATATGTAATTTTTCAGTAGTCATCATGATTTTTGTCTTCTTGGTGTTCAACTCCAAATCTGAGTTGGCACTTTCTTCTTCCACTTTCACTAAAAGTCACTTCAAGTCATTGCTGCTTTCTGCCAGTAAAATGGGGTCAATGGCATATCTTAAATTATTGTTAAATTCCCCCAATTTTCACTCCTCCTCCTTCTGAGTCTAGAGCGGCTTTCCATATGATATGTTCTACTTACAAACTGAACAAATAGGGAGATAGAATACATCCCTGTCTGATACCTCTGCCTATAGGAAATCATTCTGTCCCTACCTATTCTGTAGCTTCTTGTCGCTCATACTTGGTTTCTTGCTGCTGCTTCCATCTTCCCTCAGCAAATCCATTAAGGAAGAAAAATGGGATAGCTACACAATGCTAAGTGCTACTATGAGACGCCCTGTCTCTAGAAATGCTCTTAGGAACCTCTAGCCCTTCTACTGTAATCCACTGCTACTTTTGTTTACTTAAATTCAATTTTTTAATTAATTCACAGATATATTTCTTAAGGGAGAAGGACTAATAAAATTGAAGGCTAAACATCTAATTGGAGGCTAAACAACCTATCAGAGGCAGGCATCTTTTTAGAAGGATGCCCACAGCTCCAGTGAACTGTGTAACTCCACCCCAGATAAGCTGACTCCCACGGAGTGTTGAGAGTTGGGTTTGGACATCCACCTCGTAGTACTTCTCATTTCTGTGCCTCATGTTGAAGGCTATCCAGACATAGTGTAGGAGCCTGGTGATTCAAAGAGATTTTCCCCATCACTCCCGCATAGTCATGGACAGGTAAATAGACAGCTTCTACCCTGTCTGTAATTACTGCATTTAGAACTCACTGGGCATGAATAACTCATATGCTCTCTGTACTATTCTTCTTTTCCCCATCTGACTCAGCTCTCCAGATGGCTTCTTCCCATATCTCTCGCTAACTAATCCTCTGATACCGTCAACTTAGTCTCAGTGGTCCTCTGTCTGACCAATACTTTCTTTCGTTATCGTTCTTCGTCATTCTCTCAGTGCGGTTTCACTTTTCTGTCTTTCTCTTGCATATGGTTTATTTAGATGGTCTCCTTTAATTTGTTCCACTTTCAAACAGTTTCTTCTCAGAAATAATAACAGTAATAACAATAATAATATCTTCAATGTACATGATACTTTAAAGAATGGTTTAATCAGAAAAAAGGGGGTTCAGGAAACAGACAGAGTCAACAAAGAAAAGACAGTGAGAATGGCGGGGTTAACAGAGGATGGTTACACCAGATATTAGACTTGGGTTTCATTGCATTTTAGCATGAATTAGGCAAGTGGACAGGAATGACTGTGTAACATAAATGTGCACAAAACAAGATAAAATTTTCTAATAACAGAAATGCCCTATTCTTTGAGATGAAATGGGGCATCTTTTTGACTATTAAAAATTAATGTAATAACTGTTTTTTCCCCGAATCTAAATGAATTTACTTTAATTTTATCAAATAAAATACTTATCTTCTCTTGTGTTTGCTATTTTAAGATGAGCAAGACAGCATATTTCTAGAGCATGATGAATTATTAGTGGCTTCTGAATCTAAACAATTCATCCATACTTGTCTTGTCTCTGTCTTAATTTCATTCCAGTGCTTGGTTCATTATGACTCCAAGACAGTGCATAAAAATTCAAAATTCAAGACATCTAACAATTTATATAGAAAAATTATACAGTATATAAGATCAAACCTAATACAAATCAGGTGAAGAATTATTTCCTTCATCTGATATGTCTTAAAATATAGGTTTTTATCTGCCTTCATTCTCTCTTGTGATTGATTATGTGGTTGTTCTCAGAATTTATCTGTTTAAAATATTTTACCCTGCCTTTCTCCTTAAAAAGGATCCAAGGTGGCTTACATAATTAAAAGACAATATTTAAGTCAAAAAAACAATAAGCATACAAATATTTAAAAGGATCAAATAAATAGCACACTAAAAATGGTAAACAAAAGCGACATTTAAAAAAAACGCACACATTCAAAGCAGTAAGGTTAAAAAAACGCACACATTCAAAGCAGTAAGGCACAAAAATCCATTTTAAAAAAATCCTCCGAGAGAGCCAGTGAATAAAGGAAAGTTTGCCTGGAGAGAAAAGTTTTTGCCTGCTTGCAGAAGCACAGCAAAGATGGGGCCAGCCTGGCCTCCTGTGGGAGGGAGTTCCAGAGTCTGGGAGCAGTGACAGAGAAGGACCTCTCCCATGTTCCTACCAACGTACCTGTGAAGGTGGTGAGACTGAGAGAAAGGCTTCCCTTGATGATCTTAGCACCTGGACTGGCTCATAAAGGGAAAAGTGTTTTTGAGATAGCTTGGACTCAAGTCATTTAGGGCTTTATAGGTTAGAACTAGCACTTTGAATTGTGCCTGGAAATGGCCAGTGGACCTGGTGGAACAAGGGGTGTGTGTGATCCCTGTGTCCAGCCCCAGTTAGCAATCTGGCTTCTGTGTTTTGGATCTGTTGAAGTTTTCGAACAGTTTCCAGTGGCTGCCCTGGATAGAGCACTTTACAGTAATCCAGCTGGGATTTAACTAAGGCATGTGTCACCTGGGCATCCAGGCTCAGAGATGTATCCAGGAGCACCTCCAAGCTATGCACCTGTGTTTTCAGAGGAAGTGTAATCCTGTCCAGCACATGTTGCATCTCTATTTCTTGCTCTGCCTTTTGACTGAGCAGGAGCACCTTTGTCAGGAAACACCTTAATTTAAAATGTCAGAATCCATAACGAGCCTTTTGACTGAGCGGGAGCACCTTTGTCAGGAAACAACTTAATTTAAAATGTCAGAATCCATAACGATATGATTCACAAAACACTTTAACTTACATATTTGGAAGGTTTCCTTCATCAGTGATATAATCGTAACTTGCATTAAGTGCATCGTCAACCAAAATGAAATACTGTAGATGCACGTCTGTAGCAACTATAAAAACATCATCCTGAGCGGGAGCACCTTTGTCAGGAAACAACTTAATTTAAAATGTCAGAATCCATAACGATATGATTCACAAAACACTTTAACTTACATATTTGGAAGGTTTCCTTCATCAGTGATATAATCGTAACTTGCATTAAGTGCATCGTCAACCAAAATGAAATACTGTAGATGCACGTCTGTAGCAACTATAAAAACATCATCTTTTTTCGTGTGCAACCTAAAGGTCTGATTAATTAAGGTAAAGCAGATTTTCTTCATGTACAACCTTTTTCCTCCAAGAAACACAAATCTTGCAATGCTCTTTGCCCGAGAATTCGGAATGCAAATAAGGCCCTGCTATGTTCCAATTAAAGACTAATTACCCGCTTCCCATCCCCCACTCCAAGTACCCTAATTTAACCAATACGGACCGAGGCAAGCACAATGCAGCCCTCTGCTGAAATTAAGTACGCATGTACGCACCCTGAGAATGCAAAAGAGTAAGATTGCCATTCTCAAAGAAACAAATCCCCTTATATTTCTGCCTGAGTCATTTGTTCTGGGGTATCTCCTGACCGCACAAAAGCATGCCTAAAACAGACTTGTGGGAGTCACTCATAAAGAAAACAGACAGCCTGTTTTGAGGGAGGGTCATGCTTCTATATGTTTGTATCAAAAGTGATTGGATGATCCCATCCTGTTTGATTTATCTCCCACTGGAGGCTTTTTGAAAGCAAAGCTAGAACGGAACAGCAGGGAGCAAAAGGGAGTCTCTTGTGAGAAGGGACGTTTAGCTGTCAGGGAAGTTTAAACAATCAATGTTGACACACTCTGGAAATCAGAGTTCCAGAGAATGATCTATACAACTTGACACATATGCTGTTTTCTTTGGAGCAGGTAGCTTTGGAGTAGCTATAGCGAGCTCTCCTATGCTGGAGGCCTTCACGAAAGAACTGGATGACCATCTGTCAGCTTTGCTTGGCTTTGGATTCCAGCATTGAGCAGGGGGTTGGGGTAGCTATGGCGAGCTCTCCTATGCTGGAGAGAAAATGGGCCAACCATCTGTCACCTTTGCTTGGCTTTGGATTCCAACATTGAGTAGGGGGTTGGACTCGATGGCCTTAGAGGCCCCTTCCAACTCCATGATTCTATGTGGGGCAGAATCTTCCAGCTGAAACACCCAGGAATGAAAGCACTCCTCTATAAGTAAACAGCTATGGCTTCTGCCATTTCAGTGTAGCCATTACAGTGTTGCACCAGGATATATGAGACCTTTCTTCAAGAACCCACTCAGGGGACTGACACATACCTAGTCCTTTAGCCTGGCTTACCTCACAGAGTTGTTGTGAGGATAAAGTGAGAAGGAAAAGGGCCATATAGTTCACCTCAAACTCATTGGAACATACTACTAATAAATAAATTATGACCCAACTTGCTTCTCATGCTTGGGCAAGTAAAACGAATTTCTTGTTAAGGTGACATAGGGCACACACACACTCTTTCTCTGGTGTTTTGTTGGACTTTGACCAACATATATGAGTACCTCAAATGATAGAGCCTCCATTTCAGTCAATCTTCTGCCCACTTTACCATGAAACCAATTCTCACTGCTACATTGGAGAGTTTGTCAGAGAAAGAAGGTGATGATGGGCTGGGATTATTTTTAACCCATTCGGTCCTGTTTTGCATTATCTTCAGGGTGAAGGGTTTGCTTCAGTGAGCACAGTTATTTGCAGCTCTACAGATGTTCACACTCCTGCCTTAGAGTAGAACCAACAGAAAGCAAGCAAGCTGTCGCTAGCAATATCACAATTTCTTGTATCCCTCCACTCACATCTGGAGGTCGTTTTTGCCTCTTTAAGGCAGGCACAAAGTTATTCCTACAATATTTTTTTCCTTTTCAAAGTTTTCCTCAATGTATGATGTGATCCCTAAATGATAATAATTTATAATTATCCATTATTACTAAATGGGAAATATTACTAAATGATGAAAAGTCAATATGGTACAGTGTTATCAGAGTGCAGTATTAGGACTCAAGAGATACGAGTCCTCGAAGTCAAATCCCTGCTTGGCCCTAAAAGTGACTTTCTCTCACTGAGGACAATATGCTTGGATCAGCTGTGAGACGCTGTTTTTCAAATGAGGTTTCCTGAGTGAATCGCTGTCACTGTCCAGATGACAAATTATTTGCTGAAGTCAGCAGAGGCAGAAGAAAGTTGTTATCACATAGAATTCCAAAGCAGGAGCTGTCTTTGATCTCGTGAGGTGGTAACTGGCATTTTCCATTTTTTTCTCCCCCCCCCCAATTTATTCTGTCCAAAGTGCCTTAGCCACACTTTGTGTCAGTGCTGACTGGAAAGTCTTTTAAATGTTTATTTAAAGAACAACAAAATTTTCTGGAGGCAACAGGCACTCGGTTGAGGGGAACAAATTCCCCCCTGAGTGCTCCTTTGCTGTGTTCACACAGGGCAGAAAGTGGAGATAAGCGATGCCAGCCGGTTGGAGTAAATTAAAATTGCCCCTGCTGGCTCAATAAAAAAAAGCTGGTTCCCCATTAACAAGAGACACTTCCACAACAGGCTTTCCTGCATTGAGCGTTCCATAGTGTAGGCAGTGCAAATTTAGTGTAGGCAGTGCAAATTGTGGAGATTTATTGGATCTAATGGTTGTTCTGGGTTTGACGGGCTCTTTGGCCGTGTTCTAAAGGTTGTTCTTCCTGACGTTTCGCCAGTCTCTATGGCCGGCATCTTCAGAGGACAGCAACCTATAGACTGGTGAAACGTCAGGAAGAACAACCTTCAGAACACAGCCAAAGAGCCCGAAAAACCCAGAACAACCATTAG